GATATGGTTTTTCAATTTTGTTGTTCGGTTGGAAAATCGGGAGAAATTCAGGAGAATGGTGGCTCCGGGAGATTTTCGGGAGGGGCACTGAAATTCGGATTCTCCCGGAAAAATCAGCAGGGTTGGCATGTATGGTTGTGGCAACATCACTAACCTTGTCAAACACCTCAGAGTAAATCATATCACAGAATATGAGGAGCGTAACTTCAGTTTTTTTATTTCTATATGATGAACTCTGCATTATTAAGTAAGTAAGTAATCTGATGTCCTGTAATCATTATGATGCTATAATTTGAGATACAATGAATAAAATAAGTTTTTGTACAAAGTATCGGTATCGGATCAGTATCATCGATACCACCCTGAATATTACTTGGTAACGGATCGGAAAGGAAATCAGTGGTATCGCACATCACTAGCAGACAGAGTTTTGGACCCAGATTACTCCTCGAGGCTCCTGACGACAATCCATAAAGTGGTGCGGCTTTGTAGCTTACCAAAGTCGGACTAAAACATTTTTGACAGATTTTTGAGCGCCATGTACCACATAAAATCAGTTCGAGGTCAGTAAGAACAACCCGAATTCATACATAAGGCACACAGATTATAAGGTGCACTCTCGATTTTTGAGAAAATGAAAGGATTTTAAATGTGTCTTATAGTGCCTCCAATCCCAAATCACTTGACAAAATATTTTTGCAATGAAAATGAGACAAAACGTAAGTAAAAAAAAAAAAAAGTTTGGTCACTCTTGAATCACACATTTTTGGTTTACACATTTAGTAAGATTTCTAAATACTAAATACTAAACTAAAATACTGAACTAAATACACTTTCAATAATATTTACTGGTTTTTATATCAATAATTCAGCACACCTTTACATTTTCTCACCTCAGTTATTTGTACAGAAATACGGCATCATCTGTACAATATTTATTTGCTCCCAATTTAGAATCCTTAATTCATCTCTTATTAGGTGTAAAAGATGGGCATCATAAAATGTTTACAACAGATAAAAACAATCACTTAGTCAAAGTATTCATCCAATATCATTTCCCATTATAAAGCATCACTCAAAAAGCTACTGAAGCACTACATCAGCATTAATTACACAACACAATAGCAGAAGCATCACAGCAATGTTGCAGAGGGGAGCTGTTTGAAATATTGCACTTCAGATCACACCTTCAGGGGACTTTCTCAGCTAATAAGGATATAAGCACACACACACACAGAAACACAAATGAACAAATGAAGCTGGAAGCGTGTCTCTGAATATTCATTCAATGTGCAGGGTAAACACGCTTCACAATAAAACATTATCAGCTTTATCTTGACAAGGCCGGGTACACTGAAACACAAACTAATGCATGCCCCTCTATCTTTGATTGAGAAGGAAACAGAATAAATACCTGCAAGTGCTTTTCCACCAAAGGTTTTTTTTTCATATCTGCCTTCCATTTTCATGTTTTACACTTGCCTTGTTACCATTTTACTACTTTTCTACCTTCACTTGGAGAAAAAAAAGGAAATCGTTTGACTTCTAGAGAGCGAAAACTGTTCTATGGTAGCTGCAATTTTGACTATTCTGGTGTATAT